CGAAAACAGTACAGAAGAACCCAGAAGATCTGAACAATTACTCAACAAAGACCGTAGTGATTACAGAAGACCGGAGCTTCATTCAAGCTGCGTTGGATGTGGTGATTGCTCACGAACTATGAACTCTTTTGTTTTATTGAACACGATATCTTTGTAGATTTCTAATTTCCGCCCATTACAGTTCCATTCTGCCTCTGAGTTGACTTCTGATTTCGTTTCGAGTCCTAGTTCTGGGTCGGACCACTAGTGCGCGGAATCCGATACATATACGAAATACTAGTCTGAGTACGAACTATAACGTTTGTCCTAAATGGTCCGCCTATTTATTTCCACGGAACCACTCTCGTGCGTATAATTTTAGATTATATTTACCCCCAGTTCGCGGTTTCATCGTCGTTTACTATTGCATTTTTTCCGTTTTCGATTCTCCAACTTTGTTTGTATTTTAGGCGCTATTCGGTCACACTTTTGCAGCCCTTTCGAAAATCGCATATTATAAATTTGCGCTTAAGCATGATTAGCCGCGATCATAAGCACTCCACAGACAGCGAAGCACTGTGGGCCCAAGTCAGGGCTCCTGAGTTCATGCCGGAGGATCCGGAAGCGTTCCTCGCACTTCTGGAATCGCGATTCCATGAAGCTCGGATGACCGGGTAACTGTCCCGTTATCATAAGCTGTTGTCCGCGATCCCGCGCGACATGCTTATCAACTTCCGGGATATTTACATGAATATCCCTGCGCACAACCCGTACGACGTGCTCAAAGAAGCACTCCTTCGTCGTTTTGTAGTGACTATTCACATTCTTTTCTCACTGTACCTTTCCTTCTGTGCATCTAATTGTTTTATTACACCAAGGCCACCTCTTTGGTCAGCACGTGTTTGCTTTCACTTTCCGCACACTTGCTCACGCCTTTGTATATCTCCCTTGCTCTGCAGGTCTTCACAATACAAGACGTCCTCCGTTTCGTGAATCGCCTCGTTCTCTCCTCGTACGAACGTACGTTTGCGACCTATACGTATTAGCTCGGGGTACCGATGACCTAGTTCCTCCAAATTGGTGAGCCCTCATTTTATTTGATTTAAGTTGGAAAATGTTTTTTTCGAAGGAATTTTAATTTCTCTAGGTCACGTTTGTGCTGAATGGTCCGCCTATTTATTTCCACGGAACCACTCTCGTGCGTATAATTTTAGATTCTATTTTCCCCCTGTTCGTCAACCAATTCGCACTTGAGTGACGCGTAGCCGAACCGATCCGAATCCCGAAGTAAAAACACAATTGATCCGCAATGTTCTATGGTACTGAATTAGCGAAATCAATACAAAATATACAATGAAGCAAACCTCAAATATGCGGCCAAAAGCACTCAGACAAGCGAACCAAATAAGATGTGCACAGAGAGGCAAACATTCGCTCCCGTTTTCAAATCACGCGAAATTCAAATGTGCCGGTCATCCAAATTACCAGATAAATAATGGTGTGTGGTGTTCGTGATCTAGAAATGTCAATATAAGAGGAACACACAGATAGTTATTTCACCATAAATCATTATGGGTTCGGATAGATTTTCAAAAATGCAGCATGAATTACAGCGGCCTCCAAAATCCTTCCTGCGCTTGTTTGAGTCAAAGGGCTGGCGCAGGTCATTGGTTCTTGTCTACGTATCTACCTACCTAGTCCCTGCTGTCAGTGCTTCTACCTACGAGCTTTTCAGCCTTCGCCGCACTCGTTGATCTTGACTTCTGGTGACTTGCACATTGCGATTGTGTGTAAGTGAATGGATGGATATTGTGGGGATATGAATCACACTTTCGACGTTAATGTCATAAATTGTGTATCAATCTGATAAAGAGACACTCAGTCACGAAATAAAATGGGGAAAACGTATGGCAAGGATGTGGAAACACGCGTTTATATACAGGTGGGGTGAATATCACTGGGGGCGCAATTGATACAGGGGGGAGGTAAGTGTATGTAGTACATGGCGGGCCTCCACAACTCCATCAGGTCACGGCATGGTGTTCATCTCCCTCCAACAAACACACGCGTTGAATATCGCGCTTTGGTTCCCCGGCAGATGTTTTCAATTTCACCGTTCTTACCAGTCCATCTGAGTCCGTGCGGCTTTCTATGGCTACACCCAGTGGCCAGTTGTCGCGTTGTAGCTTTTCG